TAATCACTAAAACAATAACATTACCAATGATGTTCGGATTTTAAATGACAACTTGACTGACAACAGTTTAATAGCATGTTGAAATATCTAATGTAAATGTTCAAATAAAGCTTTGAAAAAGTTTCATAAAAAGGTAAACCTCACATTTCAGCTTTTAAATAAAGAAAATATATCAGTCAAAATGATAATTGATTAATAAACGATTATATGTATTTTATCTGCTCCATAAATCATTCTAGATAACTTATCTGAATTGTTTAACTGTGTAGAATCCACATAAGCTTGTTTTTCATCAACCGGTCAATATTTACAGCAGGGCATGCAAATTCGGTCCGTTTTTGGTCAGACAGAAACTGCACACAGGCTGAATGTGTTGTTTTACATGGAGCGAAGATGAAAACAAAATGCCATCGAATCGTTTCTGAGGACAGTCAGAAACTTCAGAGGTACATTCATATAATTAATTAATTCATATATTCATTTGTATAATTCCCTTAGCACTCTTTAAAACCTCCCAGCTTTTCTGCCCTGTTTTCACTCAAAATGAAACTACGCTGCATGCTGTGCACACGTGACACTGTTACTTAAAACTGCTTTATGCTGGACAGTATTTATTTATCACGAGTTGTTCAAATCGTGGTAATCTAATACGGTTTTAATGATAATTAAAAGATGAAACGGTAATACTAACCGTGGGGAATTTTATCATGATTTATCGTCAAACCGGTAATCGTTACATCCCTACTGTAAAGGGTTACCATTTTCCATAATAAGGGTTACCATTTTTCCCACTGCTCCGGGTGTGTGTGTGTTCACTACTCACTGCTGTGTGAGTGCACTTGGATGGGTTAAATGCAGAGCACAAATTCCAAGTCTGGGACATCATACTTGGCTACATGTCATGCCATTTTCACTTTCTTTCATTTTTAATTATGCCAACCAGAGTTAAAAAGTAAGATCTGTGCATAAGGAAAGGGCAGGAGACAAAATGCAGGAGAAGGAAGAAGCGTGTCTATTACCATCGTCAGCAATTCTGCATTGAGGCGCAGTATGACACTGTTAAGTAGAGAAACAGAGAGCCACTGTGCCTGTGTGTGAGAGAGCGCCACAGTGCTGACTCAAGCCCTCTAACCTCAAATCACACAAAAGAGGCTTAAAGGAAGAGAAGGGAAGCGAGTGAATATTGGAGACAGGTACCCTTTGTGTTTAGGCTCCTGCAGTGCCTAGTTTAAGCGGGAACCCTGCTGTGTTTGAGCAAAACAGCCATTGGAATTTGAAGAGGCCTGATTTAAAGTCACACTGACTGAGCAATGATGTGCAAGCACTTAAGCCATCAAAACCAAACACGGACAGCTTAGCAGAGGCCGAGTGAATATAGAGTGTTTTTAGCGTCGACATTAAGTGACAGTTGTTTGGATGATAAAGGGATGAGAGAGGTGGGGTTCAAGCTGCTTTCCTGCTCCGCAAGCCAACGCCCCATACTGTATATCCTGTGCAGTGAAAAATATGACTTCCTGTTCAGCAAACATTCACAGTCTCAGAGGACAGACGAGAGTGTCGGTCCAAAATAACCCTATGTAAGGAGGAGTGAAGACCCCGAGGAAGATCACAACAATGATTAACTCTTAAACATACACAAACTCTACAGATGTCCTGTTTGGACTACAGTGGCCATTTCTGATTGGTTTAGTAGAACATTAGAGGAAATACAACCCGCATACACACATCTGTGCACACTGCGGCTGAAACATATTTGTGTGTCATCGCTGGTTTTCCCTACAGGCAGATATGGAATTATAGAGGATCAAAGACTCGGTATCATAGCTGTCAGAGATCAATGACACGTCTGACATTCCCTCTAGCCCTGCAAACACACACAGACGTCTCCATCCATTTACCAGCACCAACCACACTGAAGGAAATCACATCTAATTACTGTAATTTAACAACATCAATAACAAAGAATTAATTATAGTCTAAGCGCTAATGAGTTTTTCACTTCTGCGTCAGTGAAACACAAAACAGAACCATTAAAAACCACTTTGTTTCATTAATTAACTGACACAATGGTTGTAAACTGTAATTTCGCATATATTGAGAAGGATCAGAACAACAAAACGCAGGACTAAAGGGATGCACTAGGTTGGTACCTGGATCCAGATGAGAGCAATACGGATGGCTGTGGCTCAGAGGACTCTTCTTTCTCCTTCAGCACCTTATCCTCGTTCTTCAGAAAACTCTTGGCCTCTCGTGAGTCTGCGTCCACCTCTTTGGTGACCCTGCGGACCACAACATAAGATATAATGCTCAAAATACTCATTGTGCACTTTAAAATCTTCAAAAACAAAAAATACACAACAGTTAAATATATATATATATATATATATATATATATGAAATATATAAGAAATTAATACTTCTATTCATCAAGGATGCATTACACTGATGAAACATTAAAGTAAAGGCATTTATTATGTTACAAAAGATGTTTATATTCCAAATAGATGCTGAATGGATGAATCCACAAATATCAAATATCCACAATTGTTTTCAACATTGATAATAATAAGAAATGTTTCTTGAGCACCAAATCCGCATATTAGAATGATTTCTGAAGGATGTGTGTGACGCTGGAGTAATTACTGATGGAAATTCAGCGTTGCCATCACAAGAATAAACTACATTTTAAATTACATTAAATAGAAAACAGTTACTTTAAAAAGGTTTTACTTTTTCACTGTAGAGAATTATTTTCCCAAAAAAGTATTTAGACATGTAAGTCACACCTTAAAACGTACATATCAAAACGCCAAAAATGAAAATTAAGAAATATACCAAAAAAACATATTATAGGCAAAACATTAAAAAATATGTTAGGCCTTAAATTATCCAACAATTGATATATAATAAGAAATAATGATATATAATGGAAATAAAAGTATTTAAAGAAGTATTTTCTGGTTGTCAAACATTAGTGAACCTACACCTGGCTTCATTTGTTTGCATATGGCACTAGATTAAAAAAACATTTTGTCATTTATGCTAGGGCTGCACGATTATGACAAAAATCATAATTGTCGATTATTACCTTGAAATTGTAATTGCGATTATTAATTACGATTATCACAATTTACGTTGAATGATGTTTATACCATTGTTTGATGCAACTGCATGCCGTATTTTTATATGAAAATAAACAAGCTGAAAACACTCTAACTGAAAAACCTTTAGTGCTTTTCTATAGTATTAAGCCTCAAATGTCAAATATACATCGGATTGGTTTCTTCTTTAAATTATAAAAAAAGTACAAATATGAATGGCATTATAATGCTATACTAAAACTAAAACAATGGAAAAACCCTTGAGATAACATGTAGAAAGAAAAAAACATATCTTAAGCGTGCAGAATAACATAAGTGGACTTTGAACGATTACGTAATTATGGTATCCATAAGTGTAATTGCGATTAGAAATTCGATTAATTGTGCAGCCCTAATTTATGCAGCAAAATTAATTCAATTTTAAGCATCAAAAGTGTCCAAATATTTTTGGGGTCACTGTATTGAGATTCATATTAACGTTTGTGTTCAAAGCTTGTCAGTGCTTTGTGCTTGACAGGATTTGAATATTTTACTGGCTCATAAACACAATGTACTGGAATTAATTATTGAAAAGCAGCAATAATATGCTAGACAAGCTAAGATGTGACGACAGCATCGTAATTAACTATTAAATGACAGCATTCACTGAAATGACCCAAATATTTCTATACGTTTTTTACTTTATTAATAACATGCACATATAAATATTAAAAATAAACTTCCTATTTGCACAAACCACCGTTTTTCTGAAGCATTGTTTAGGGAATGTTAAGCTCTCCATCTAATTCCTGAACGCGTGCTGCCATCTGGTGGCCATATAAAAGTATTACAGTTACACAAGACAGTTCCACTTACCGAACTTCTCCTCCTGCAAAATCAAACACCTTGGTGATTGTGATTTTGGAGGATTCTTTTGGTTTGTCCTCCTGCTGCTGAGACGCTGTCGAGGGTTTATTGGGCTTATCTGTACCAGTCGTAGATGTGGACTATAAGAAATACAAACAAAAACATAAACATTAATCTAAGAGACAATTAAATAAAACACAAGCACAGAACACATCAAATTAAAATGAAATTTCATTTTATGAATTTAAATTATGAAAAAATATGTAATGCCTTCTGACTGTAGTAGCATGACTACCAAGACACTGAACCAAAAACACAAAACCACCCCAAAATGTGTCACATCAGCCTAAATGGAGCCAAGACAGAAAATGAATGTTGGTACATGAAAATTAAAAACAATAAATTGTCTTACTTTACTTCATTTTCTTGCGTTGATGGTTACCTGCTGAGAGTCTGTACTTGGAGCTGCTGCTTTGGGTTGAGGGCCAACATCACTCAAAAAACTAGCCCAAAGATCATCTGCTTTCTTCTTATGTTTCTCTTCAATGTCCTCTTGTGACTCAGTTACAAAATGATCCTCTTTTGGCATATCTTCACCTTTCTGTTGGTCTGCTGAACCACCTTCATCATCTTCTTCTAGTTTGAGTCCTCCTTTTTTCCTTTTCCTTTGTAAATATGGAGAAAGTGAGAACATTTTCCCTTACAATCAGTTTTACATGGGTTTAAAACATACATCAGCAATATGATACCTCATAGGAATGTTTGCTTTAGTTTTCATCTTTTTCTTCTTTACTTGCTCTGACTGCTGCGCGTCGTGACCCTCCACCTCCAGTGCATCCTCCTTCTCACATTCATTCATGTCATCCTCGCTCAGGTTATCATCTGATCAATTCAAGAAAAAATGAAACCAATGTGAATGGATCATATTTATGACATTAAGACAAAATGAACACAGCAGCTGACAAACCAAATTATGATGCATTTCTGCCTATTTTTTTCTACGAGTTGCTGAAGCACTGTTAGCTGAAGAGAAGAAACTCTAAATACTACTAAAATTGCCTGTTGTCACTTTCAATAACTTAAAAGTAAACTATATATTTTAAAATTCTTAGAAGCAGTATAATGTGTAGTGGCAGGTTTTCTCATTCTTGACCTTAAGTCCTCTACTAGTGAGAATCTTTCTCATATTTTAAATTATGAAAAGTGAACATTTAATGGCAGAATGTCCTCTCTTCTAGTCCTATCATTTTTCCTCTCAGTACCAGTTCCACCCACTAAAGAGCCCTACTCCAGTTCATGATATAAATCAATGTATTGTCCTTCTAAGATAAAGACCATGAAAGATATGGTGTTCATTTGCAAGACATACAGGACAATAAACGACTAGCAGGGGTCTTGGTGAATTATATCAGTAATTGTTTGCTTCGTTGGCATCAGTCTCACAGCTAAATTAACCTATTTCAGAAAAGAGAAAGTTAACATATTAATTATTGCTTGGATCTGATCACATGAAACACATATGATATTCAAATGGATTCTGAATAAATATACCATATATACATTCTAGATAATACAGGGATAATAGATTTATATGTTGTAGATATTAGCTATGATAATTTTTGTGTGATTGTTTTTGCATACCACATCATAATTTAAAAAACAAAATGTATAATGTCAGAATGGGGCAGTATATGTTTACATCTACAGAGCACAAACGAGTTAGCTTACAGTAGCTACAGTACATCTGAGCTCTTGCTTATATACAACCATGCAAACTTCATGCTAAAATCTCTTACCAGAAGGGACGTAGTCTTCATCTTCATTTGAAGAATAACCATCCGAGTCGTAATCCGAATAATTCATCTTTATTTCTCTCTGTGATGCGCTGTATTAGCTGCTAAATCAGACAAAGACTCCAATAACAACTACATGAAACCAAAGGATGAAATGCTGTAGCTAACCTGCTAGCTATGAGCTAACGTGCAAGTGCCTTACTAGAAGCCCAGCATGTTAGCTTGCTAGCATCATCTGATCTATAAAAGGTTCATCTAGTTACCTCCATTCAGAACTGTCGTTTCTTTTCAGCTTCAAATTCTTTTCAAGATTGTACCAACTTTGAGCTAAAAAAAAAAAAAACAATGACAGAAAATATTTATTAACAACAACACCAATAATAAACTGTGTTATTATTATTACTGAAAGTAATTACAGGTAAAATATTATTAAAACTGATTATAACAAAATATAATATACAGACTGAAATATTTTTCTGCCTTCCTGACTCTTCTATTCTATTACAATTTCTTTCTTTTTATTATTAGTATTATTATTATATGCATTTTCACATACCAACCTTGTGCTAAGTGACAGAAAATATTTTTAAAAATATGAATTAACAACAACAACAGTAAACTGTTGTTGTTATTATTGTTACTGAAAGTAATTACTGGTATAATATAATTATAAGTAATAACAAGATTATAAGTAATAACAAAATAATATACAGACTGAAATACGGTCAAGAATGGATTTATATTCTGCCTTCCTGGCTCTACTATTCATTTTTTTTAATAATATATACATTTTCACATACAAACTCAGCTAAATACAGTGACAGAATATATTCTTTCAATATTTATTCAAAACAATAGCAACAATGATAAACCGGGTTATTATTATTATTATTATTATTATTATTATTATTATTATTACTAAAGCTAATTAAATTGGATCTCTTTACCAACCTTGTGCTAAAAACAGTGGAAAATATTTGAAAAATATTTATTTACAACTATAAACGGGATTATTATTATGGACAGACCACAACATAAGATGTAACTAAAATAAAATAAAATAAAATCATAAAAACAACAATTTATTTTCAATTTATTAATTTCAGCTTAAACCTTCACATTCTATCCATATGACATGCGAATCGGTTTTTACGGATACCAAGAAGGGACAGATGCTACAAACCGTACAGGCCCCGCCCATAAGCCTGTAGCAAATCGCAGGTGACAGAAAGATTATCTCAAACCCGACACAGTTGTGGTAGTTAAAACTATATTTTTTTCTCGGTTTTTGAACGGTGTTATAGTGCACTGGTAGATTGACGAAAGTAAACCCGCGCACTCATCGCGTTTCCGCAGTTCAAATGGACGCTCATGCAGATGGATGAGCATCTGTGCTAAAAACAAACGCTCAGCTCAAGCCCACATTCCTTTTCTAATGCCGTTATTCGGATTTGACACTTTCCTCACGCATGATCGCAGCGTTGATCGTAAGAGAAATGCAGGACGAATATAACGTAGGATTCGTGAAGCAGATCCTTAGTTTGAATTTGGTGCCGAGGAAAAATGTCACCAACTGCGGGAGGAACGACACCTCTCTGTGCGATTTCTCCGGTGAGTGTTTAACCACAGCAGACATCACACATCATTTCGATCGGCTTATGCTTGTACTACTATCAGACACTATTATTGTGTTGTATGATTTGCATTGCCCTGAAAAAGTGGTCAAGCTATCAGACTGATAATGGGTTAGCAACTAATGCTAGTGTGTTAGCTTGACCGGCTAATGTGTTGGGATACTTGTTTGCTAAAATTATGGTGTAACTCAGAGAAGGCGATCATGTGTCTACAGTTATAAAAGTCTGTCTGTTTTTCTGTGGATTAGTTTATCTGCATAGTAGTTCTATTTGTCTGTCTACCTTTAGACAGAGAGCGACAGATATTGTCTATCTGTCGACCTGTCGTTCTGTCTGTCTATCCCTCTATTTATATGTCAATCCATCCATCTGTATACATGTCAGTCTGTTTAACCATCTATGTGTCTTATCTGTCTACCCATCACTTCATCTATCTCTCTACCTGTCTGTCTATCTATCTTCTTCAAGTTGTGTGATGGAAATATGATGTTAAATATTTAATTTAATATTACAGGGTTGTATTATAACTAATGACACTTCACCACTAACAAACAGTCTTAATTTCCACAATGTCAGTCATTGCAGTCTTTTCTAAGGTTTGGTGGGAGATGTTTACATCACGGGTGTAGGAAGGACTTTTGGCTGATCTTCAGGCTTTGAATGTGATGTCTTGCCTTGCAGAGATGTGGTATGGGGTGTTCCTGTGGGCTGTTGTCTCCTCATTGGTGTTCCACATGCCTGCTGCCCTCCTGGCTCTGGCAACCCTCCGCAGACATAAGATGGCACGATTTTTCCCAATCGGCATCCTGCTCATGGGCATCATCGGCCCGCTGTTTGGAGGGGTTCTCACTAGTATGTAGCCTGTTTTTTTTGTTTTTTATTCCTAGGTCTAGTTACATGTGAAATATGTCATAATGTAGGCTATATGAAATGCATCTAGACCAGGGTTGTCCAATCCAGCTATTGAAGGGCCACTGTCCTGCAGAGTTTAGCTCTGAGCCCAATTAAATCCACCTGAACCAAAGTAATCAACGTCTTCAGATTACATTCAGACTACATTCTTCCAGGTGAAGTGACGTGTGGCCAAGTATGGTGACCCATACTCGGAATTTGTGCTCTGCATTTAACCCATCCAAGTGCGTAGTGAACACACACACACACCGTGAACACACACCCGGAGCAGTGGGCAGCCATATTGCTGCGGCGCCCGGGGAGCAGTTTGGGGTTTGGTGCCTTGTAGGGTTGGGAACCCAGAACCCGAAACCCAGTACCAATATGGCACCGGTACCTATGTAACCGGTATGTACTAGAACCGAATCTGAACGCAGATTTCGGTGCCATGCCTGAGCGATCGATTGAAATATTTGTCCTCTGATTCTCCGAAACGGATGTATCTATTCTAATGGCCAATCCATCATTTTTTGGGGGGATTATTTTTTAATTTTTTAATAAGTATCGATTCAGGCACCGTTTAGGCACCGAAACTGTTTTAAAAGTATTGATTTGGCACCGGTATCGAAAAAAAAAAAACGATACCCAACCCTAGTGCCTTGCTGAAGTGTCTCACCTCAGTCATGGTATTGAGGGTGGAAGAGAGCACTGTACATTCACTCCCCTCACCTACAATCCCTGCCGGACCTGAGACTCGAACTCGCAACCTTCAGGTTACAAGTCCAACTTTGTATCCATTAGGCCACAACTGCCCCCTATGTTGGGGCAAGTTGGAGCTAAATTCTGCAGGACGTTGGTCCTCCAGGAACAGGATTGGACACCCCTGATCTAGACATACAAAATGTTGCTATTTAATCATTTATTGTGGCATTTAAAGAATAAATATTCACTAAATATTTTACTTGTACTATATATATATATATATATATATATATATATATGTCTTACAGGTGCAGCCATAGCAGGAGTTTATAAGGCGGCTGGGAAGAGCATGTTCTCCTTGGAGGCCTTGGTGTTTGGAGTGGGACAGTCGTTGTGTGTTTTTATAATTTCCTTCTTCAGAGTGCTGGCTACCCTGTAGCACTGAGACATTGGCACACCAGGCTGCCATCACAAGGAGAGGAAGCAGTTCAGCACCACATATGCAAAACATGGAGGCCTTACTTCCCAAACAGTCCCAACAGCTTGTTTCCTTTGATACAGAACAATGGTATTTTTTCCAAACGGGTTTCTGATGAGTTCTTTCGAGTAACATGGGACTTTTCATTTGAAAATGAAAATTACAAGCTACCTTTAAAGAAGAACTAGCCTTGCGTTACAGGTGGAGTCATCTTGCACATATGTATTTTTTAAAATTAATCATTATAAATTATATTTTGTTGTTAGTTTCTTTTCATTTTCCTTTCTTAACACTAATTTTGTCTTTTATAAAGTTTTTGGATGAGGTAAAGACTCATTTGATGTACATACTAAAGCCCATTCCAGCTTGCCCTTAAATTATGCTTGAGAGGATCAACTTGCATTCACTTTGCACTGATTATATGAATCCATTAGGCCAAAGGCTAGAAATTTCAATTTGTTTCTCTGCTTCACAATGTTTTATATGTATTTTGCCTCTGATTGTGGGCATATTTGAAGAGATTACAGTTAAACACACTTGTGTGTGAACTTTGACATTGTAATCGTTTCATAGCTTAAGATTTCCTGCTGGAGTTAAGTGGCTTTTGTTGGTTAAATTACATGTTTGTGACCTGTTTTTACATTCAATGTCACTAAGAATTTGTTTTTCAAGTGGGCTCCAGGATTTGGCCTTCACATTGTTATTTCTGTAAATATTAGAGTGATACAATGAGCTTTGACACTTATTCGCCCATAAGATGTATGTGGCAGCCTCACCTCTTATGCCTAACATGTGAATGTAAAACAGATTTCAGCTGAATCCATCGTAGAATCATTTAAGCCTTCACCAAAGAAATTATAACACTATTCTACAGTCGTTATATGTCGCAGACACTGTTATTTTTAGTAGTGAAAGCTCGTGGAAAGATAAAACAGAGTTATTATAGAATGTACAAAATTATAATATCAGAATCTGAAACCCAAGTTTATGTACAGAAGTATATAAAATAAGATGCTTAAGTTACAAAAAAATGTGTACTCACACGTAGATGTTCTCCCTAGTTTCTTCAGCAACTACATTATCAGCAAGAGGTGTAATTCTGAAACAGATATGAATATGATCTTAACACAAAATAGCAGAGTTTTTAGATTTATCTGAGGAATTAGCCTGACATCTAAACCAAACTTATTCTCAAATATTAGTTTCACATTTCTTCAGCATAAGCATTTGTAGACTTGTGTTCTCCCATATCACAAGCCCTCAGGAAGTTCTTGTGTTCTGGAAGTTTCATTCAAATCTCTTGTGGTGTGAGTTAATGTAAATCAGACTAATCTTTTCTGATTGGAGCGCTAACATTAGTGGGATGCACTGAAAGCTATGCTTTATTCGTCTGAGCCTATGGTCTCTCAATTGCACAAATGGAATTATTTTTCTAAAGTCCAATCATTCATGGTGGAGTGACTGCTCATTGTTTTTGTGGTTTGTCTTTGATTGTATGG